TTTGGCATGTTAAAAGAGTTAAAGGTGCCGACATTAATATAAAATCTGCTCGTTAAACTCTTCCAGTTCAGCTTAAGCCAAAAATAAAGTAATTATTTTAGAGGCTCGCCTTTAAAGCTTTCTTGGATTTCGTAAGCAAACCAGCTTTAAGAAGACAAAGAAAATACTTAAGTACCCGTTGAATTTGTTGGTTCATTAATAAGCAAAACTTCAACTCCTTGAAATAAAACACAAAATTCAAGTTTTTTGTAAGCCAAAATGAGCTTTTCGAGTTGACTGAATGAGTGGAAAAGTTTTGACAGCTGCGCCAAGCAGTCCAGCTTTAAGTTCTTAATAAACTGGGCAACGTGTTTAAAGCCTTTGCCCCTGTGACTGCAGTTGGACTAGAGAGGCTTGCAGCAGATGTAATTAGAAACAAACAAATCGGGTTAGTTGTAATGGGATTAAAAAAGAGGGTCAAACTTTCAAACTGTCAACCCTCACAGAATTCAACTAAATGTAACTGCATAAAAGTTTCAAATTGTTGGCAAATTAAATTGTGCTTGGATTCGAAAAACAAGCAAAAATTAAATTATGTCAAATAAATTGAAATCTTTTTGTGCATTTCATTTGAATACATAAGAAAACAAAATAACAAAACAGTAGAACGGGCAGTGCACAAATCAAATTATGTTAATTAAACGCACACAACAAAACCGAGCTAAAATTGTTGGCCAAGTGGTAGGATTTTTTGTTGCCGCACAATTTAACAAACAGAGCGGGGCAAGGGCGAGTGCGGCGAGTGGTCACGGGTTGGCCAGGTAAATGTTATCTATATTTTCCTTTCGCTTTAGCCTGCTGGCGACATTAACTGGCCAGCAGGACGTTAAGGATGACGGCAGTAAAAACAAAAGCGCAGACGTCGTTGCTTCAACTCACAAATTGTCACAAATTAACTCAATGAGTGGCTCGTGTACGACACTTTTTAAGAAATAATTCAATTATGGAGCCAAATTGCCGATCACGACAGCAGGTTGAGGGTAGGACGCAGGCAAATGTTGAAATTGTGGCTATACAACTTTTTATGCCGTTCCCTTTGGCCGTTTCACAGTGTTATCTAACTTTGGCTTCAATCAAAAGAAGTTCACACATTTGCCTCGCTATATTCCTTGCTCGGGCGTCACACGCCGCGTATACGTAATATAATTGCCAGTTATTGTCATAAAAGTGCAGTAGATGGGCAGAAAGAAAATGTAATTACGTGACATGTCCACGTGGCACTGACGCCCATCGATGATTATATAATCGATATAAAAACAGACAACAATTGCCGTTGCCTACGTTGGCTCCGCATGCAAAAACCCGACCGAAGGCTTTCAATTGTTGCCAGTCGATGTCGATTTTTGCTTTTGCACACAGTCGCCAAGACAAGGGTCAACTTTGTGGCCAAATTACCAAGCAAAAACCCCAGCGACCAAAATAAATGTTGCCCACTAAAAATAGCGCAAAGGAATAATCAGAAAAACCAACGACCAACAAAAAAAAAAAAAAAAAACTACAACGAAATGCGGTCAGGATATGTGTGCAAAAAGGGAGGGTTATCGCAGGAAAAAGAAACTGTGCTGCAAAAAATTTATGTGTTGCACGGTGAAGCGCAAACGAGCGCACAGAGAATAGGTTTTCTTGTAAGCATCATTTGGCAAAGCTCATTGAAAAATAAAATTTGGAAATTATGTAAAACCATTTTGCGTTTTTTAACTACTATACACACTTAAGCACTCTATCAAACTTGAAGAAGTTTCGTATCAGCAGTCCGGGCATCGCAATTCAGCACAATTCTTACAAAATGCATAAATAGTCTAGGTATATATAGTCGAGCGGCTTATCCACTTCAATACTTGTTATCCCGCAAAGAGAATCAGAATAAAAACCTCAAGTGGTGGCCAAGTCAAAGGCAACAACTAAAAGCCAGTCGGGGCCTGTACACAAAAGCGCAAAGCCAAGAAAATGAAGTAGCAGCAGCTCTACAGCTATCGACAGGATTGGCGAGAAAAGCACGGCTAAAAATCGGGTAAGATGGATAAGCGCCGCCACACAAAACGGGCAAAGATGAAGTTTTTCGCGTTGCTCTCAGTGGCGTCTCCGAGCCAAATGGAATAACACGAAACTTAAAAGTAAAAAATAAAATAAAAAGCCAAAAATAACACAAAAATGTGGCAGCTAAAAGTCAGACAGCGCCTCCTGCGGAACGGCAGGCGAACAGCGACCAGGTTGTTTCCCTGGCCAAGGATTCTCCGCGGCAATGGCGACAGCGGCTGCCTTTCATAAGGCATCCCTCAACTGTTGTATGCCACTCAGCAAAGTTTTTTTTTCGAATCTCGGGTCAATATTAATAGCTTCTGTGCTTCAGCTTGAAATGCAATTTTTTTTCTAAACATATTTATGAGCAATATTTGATGGCAGCGATTGCTTGTTAAATGAGCTACACGGAGCGTATACGCAACTTGCTTTTAACTTAGCTGTTAAATATTACAGCCGGCTTCATTAGTTTAGGGACAACCTTATGCGTTTTTTCGATTAATCCTCATGTTGTTTATTAACTTTTAATTCTGACTACTTTCAAGCCCAAAACTTAAAAAAACCGAAGCCAAAAGCGAATCACATCTTCTTTTAAAATGTTAGACTTTAAATGAAATAAGCTTAAGAGTAAGATCTAATCATTGAGTTTGTAAAAATCTTTAAAAATCCAGAATTCGATTATAGTTTTAAAAGTAAATGACATTACAAGATAAGATGCAAAAAACCATGAATTTGGAACCTGGCTGCGAGGTGTTGGTGCGTACCGTTAATCAATTTACCGTACATTTAATCAAAAGGTCTTTTTTATCCTAAATTCATTATTTTATCGTTCTGGAAGCTTTCAAAAAAGCGTCTGTAAAAAAAGTGCGATAAAAGCAATTAAATAGACATGAATTTATGTCAGGCAACAATTTGGTAAGACGACAGCAAATTAGCGGCAATTTGATCAACATGCATGACAGCTAACTGAATCAATAAACCAAAAGAAAATACTTCAAGGTCAATCAAAATTGGCTGGCTTTCAGCCGTGGCGTTTTAATAAATGAATTGCTGATTAAATGAAGTTGGCAAAAGCAGCCCAAAAAGCAAATCAAACAAAAAAAATTGGCCCAAACGGCTACACACGGCCAAAAATCGAGAGCAAGCAATGCGTAAGAAATTGTCGAACAAAATAAAATTGCGTAAATGTATCTGACAGAGGCCGATGGGCACAGGGTGCGCACGGTGTGCGCCATCAAATCAGAGGCAAGGCAAGGTTAAACCAAGCCAAAGCCTGTCACAGATGCGAATGCGACTAGCGAAATGTGCGCAGAGACACCATTTTATGGCCGATGATGGAACCGCGGCAAAGGAGGCGAGGCGAGTGGGCAGGAAGGGCGACGCAGGCAAAAAGGGCGCTGATGAGAATGAAGGAACAATAACAAAAAAACAAATATCCGCCTGCGGACCGCACAAAGCCAATGAACGACAGACAGTCCAGCTCTCTGCTAAGTTGAGGAATAGGACATACATGCACGTATGTATGTATGTATGTATGCATGTATGTGTGTACATTTCTATGGCGAGGGACGGCGGCAAACGACAGAAACACGCGCCGGCTTCAGCGAATGAGCATAAAACGCATATACGAATGAGTAAAAAAAAGAGGAATCGAAATGGACCTATGGGAAAGTTGAGAAGTGTAGCCGGAAAGCACCTTTTATGGCCTACGGCTGAACCTAATACACTTAGCAAATTGTAAGAGCCTAGACCCTTACTAAAAAATAAAGTAAGATATGTTTAACTTTATAATTGAGTTAATGCCATAGCATAGCAAGGCTATTTATCTAGGCGATCTTAATTAAAGGTTAGGTTCTAAGCTCTTAAAATGAGAGAATTAAGGGTTAAAATTAAGTGGCTCAAACGGTTCTTGACCAATTTGTAGCTGTCCATTAAAGCATCAGTTATTTGGGAATTAAATGAAGTCTTATGCAAGCAAAAAATTACAAATAGATACTAAATAGGTCAACAAGTTATGTTACGCCTAAAAGTCCTTAAAAAATAAAGTGAAGAGTAAGAGATCTGTTGTTTGGCCAGACAGATGTGCTTGACATGGGGCAACGTTCTGTACATAAAACAAAAACAAAAATACAAAATAAACTTAATGGATTTGACTAACGGACTGACTTGACTCACCGTCGGCCTGGGGAGGGAACTTCGACCGTTTGGCGGGTCTCCAAAAGGGCAACAAGAAAATTGGCGCGCGCAAGAGACACAAAAAGAAAATGAAGCGAAAAAAAGAAAATGTGTGAAAACAATTTTAAAATGTAATTTACGTGTTCGCCAGAAAAAAAAAAAAACAAAAAGAGTCGCTGCGTTTTATTTATATTTATGAAATTTGAGGCGAAAAAGTTGTTCAAAAGTAAAGTGCTTTTAGGCACCAGCCCCAGCCCCAGCCGCAGCCGCAGCCCCAGCCGCAGCACCAGCCCCTCGCCAATATAACGCATTTGCAGTCAAGGGTAAAAATATTGTAATTTTCTCATCGGGGGTTTTGCTTTGCTTTGGTCCACTAATTCGTGAGACTTGTTGTGAATATGTGCGTGTGTTTGACTTTTTGTTTTGTTGTTTGTATTTATGTTTGGTCGCTTTGTTTACGCAAAACCACAAACACAGCTAAAGCTGCAATTAAACCGACAGCTGAGCTGAGCTGTAGATAAATTCAAACACACGCACATAATAACAAAAGCTACTCACCTATTAAACACACTCACACACACACACACCACAAGCACATATGCGTCGACAGCGACGCTGGCGTCAAAAGCAAATGCAGTCACATTTCGCCGCAAATTGCTTTTGCTTTACAATTTCAAGTATTTTGTGACGTCTCTGCCTGACTTTGTTATTGTTTTTTATTATTATTGTTTTTGTTGGTTTTTGTTGCTGTCAATTATTCTGCCTACCTGATAACACGAGCGGCGTTTTGGCTGCGGAAATTGCGGGTGAATGTGAATTAGAAAAATGCGACAAATCGCTTTACGCTGCACTTCACAAGCATTTGTTTGTTATTATTGTTGTTGTTGTTGTTGTTTATGTTTTTTTGTTTTTTTTTTTAATATTTACACTAAACTGTTGATTGCGTTCAAACACTAATTCGCTTGCTGTTGCTTTTATTTGTTATTTATATTTGCTATAGATATTATGCAAAACTGTTTGCTCTGCTGTTTTACAACCGGCGGCAATTCCGCATACGTAGTGTAGCAGCAGCTTGAGGTTCGAGCAGCTGGCGGTGGGTGGACTAGCGCTGTCAGAGAGCTGCCCAATTTCCAGTACGACTTTTTCACAGCACGACGACACGTTGAGCACTGAGCGCCGTTTGCCACCAAAAATTCTGTGCGGGTCTTGCTAAATTACAACGTACCCAAATGGGTTATTTCTTTCTCTCTCTCTGTCGCTCTCTCTTTCTCTCTCCCATACACATATACTTCTGCTGCCCTGTAGACGTTTTGGTTCACATACTCTCTTTTTCTCTCTTGCAAATGCTCTGGCTCTCTCTCTGCAGCTTATTAGTTCTGAGCGCTGCTATTGTTGTCTTTTCGTTGCTCCAGTTCGCTTTGGCGCCAGACATCAACTGATAGGGCGATGCGTAGCCAGCAGCAGCAGCAGCGACGGCAGCAGCGAAGGCAGCCGCGGCAGCAGCAGCGGCAGCAGCTTACGTCGGCGTAGCATGTGCTACGTTTGTTTACTGTTATTTGGCACACGCCGCTGCTCCGATTCGCGCTCATTTTAAAGCGCTCTCCCAGTCTTCTCACGTGGATGGGGGTGGTGGCAATGACTGCAACAGTGCTGCCGAATTGTTAACATTTTGTGCACACACAAAACAACCGGAAAGCGAATTCAATTCGATTTAAAACTTAACGAGCTTAAAACAAATTTTTGTTTAATTTTGTATTATACTAAATATTTTTAAACACAATTATGTGCGTGAGTTATATTCTCCGTCAAGTCAGGCTTTTCAGAAAGACCACTTGCTGGAAATACTGAATAAAAATATTTTTGCATATATCAGACCACTGTGCCTCAATGCTAAGAGCGTGCTCTTTGACTGTGTCTGCGGCGCAGGCGCCATTTTTTGTGGGCTGGCGGTTAACGGAATTAAAGGCATGGAAAAAGTTGTTGCTCTTCCTTAAGAGCAACCGTTTGTTAAGTGCTGTGATCTTGACCAAAATCCGTTAAGCCGTATAACTTTGACTTTGACCGATTTAAGATTTCAATTATTTGTTTCAATTTTTGGTATACTTTTAGGCAAGTTTTGAATATGTATTAGGGCTTAAATAGTTTATTATATGCTTATGAAACTGGATTCAATTTGAAACTTTTCTACATTTTATGGAAATCATTTGAATAGAGAGATTGTTAGGGCTTCGCCCAAGCTAACACGAATTAATCCATATGTTCAAAGGTCTAGATGAGCTCATTGTCGCTGGTCACATCGACATCCGTTGCCGTGGCTGCCGTGGCTGACGTTGCTTCTTTGCCCTCATTGGCAACCTCAGTGTCCTCCTCGGCATCCGGTTCCTCTTCCTCTTCCATATCCAGTTCCGCCTCGCGCACGCCATCCTCGCAGACCGTCAATGGCTTGCGCTCCAGCAGAGGCCGCGGTGTGCGCCCCAGGAATGTGTTGCAGACAGTCACAATTGACTCGCACTCACCCGGAGCATTGGTAACCACGAACACGCAGCTCTGAATGACGTCGTGCGGCGTGTTGTCCATCAGCTGAAACACTATATGCTGCTCCTCGATGTTGCCGTGCGTGACAAGCTTGCCATGCAAACTGCGGTCGACGGCGTCGAAAATTCTCAATGTGTCTGCATAATTTTAATGCCAGCTCAAAACTTACCCCAGAGGCACTCCACCAATTTTCATTTGCAGCTCGGCATATTTCGCAAGTACATAGCCAAATCGTTCCTTGGCATCGCTATAGTCCATCTGCAAGTGGGATGAATGCAAAAACTACAACCGAATGCAAATTAAGCTGCGCACTTACGTCCTCAATGCAGTGGTTGGGTGGTATACAAATCGATAGCTGCACAAGTTTCACAATTAATTTAACTATATTATATATTATAATATGCTGCATTATAGACGCAGTTGGAATACTCACCGTTTGCCGTGCAAGTAGCACGAGCATCGAGTACAAACAAATATTCGCAGTAAAGTCCATGGCTGAACCGCTCAGAGATCGGCTTCAACTCCAACTGAAACGAATCGCATAAGGCCAACTGGCATTGTCTCCGCTTTGCTCTGAAAGTGCAGGTGACGTCATAATAATTAAAACTATATGGAGATACAAAAGCTCATTCATTGGAAACTCTCACGGTAAATTACAAAGTTAATTGGCGAGAAAGAGAATATTTTTCATTTGATTTTTGAGGCTTACAAAATTTGTATGACTAGAGGAAAACATTTAAAAAACTTAAATAATTACATGAAAATTCACTGAAAAAATCAGTATTAAATGTAATGTAAAAATCTGTTAAAGTAAGCCTTTCAGATAATTCTTGTACAAATTTGTATGACTGGAGAAAAACATATAAAAAACTTAAATAATTACATGAAAAATTACTGAAAAAATCAGTATTAAATGTAATGTAAAAATCTGTTAAAGTAAGCCTTTCAGATACTTTTACCCAAAGTTTATCAATGCTGATTTATAAGCAATTAAACGCTCAAGGTGCACATTTTTGTTAATTTGTTTGATTTTGGTTATTCAACTAACTGAAGGTGATCTGTTTGAAAAAGATGCGTATTATTTGTTCTATTCAATAATATATTTGCCTGCAAATCGACGCCTAATTTGACGAGTTATCAAACTTTATTAAATAACTTTAAACAGCTGCGCACATTTTGCGCAAAGAATCCATCAATATTTTTGGCTATAAAAGGCGATGTGTCGAAGATATTCCATATCAATATCTTAAACGCTTCTCTGCAGCAACAATCGAAAAACCAACAAAAATAACATGAGAGCTACAACAATTGTCCTGAGCCTTGCCATTTTGGCCAGTTTCCATGTGAGGAACAGCGAGGCGGTCGCCTGCACATCTTTTGATCCCAATTTGCCAGCTGGATGCACCGACTGTGAGGCTGCGGGCAATGAAAACCATGTGGATTGTGTGACAACAACAACAACGACAACAACAGAGGCTGCAACAACCGGCACTGGAACAACTGGCACTGGAACAACCGGCACTGGAACGGGAAATGGTGGGAGAACTGTGCGCGTTACCAATCTGAGGTACACAAATGTGCGTCGCGTTCGCGCTAATCGCAATGGAAACACCTCAGGCAGCAGCACTGGACGCCGCAACGTGAGACGTGCAAACGCGAGCCGTGGAAATGTGCGACGTGGAAATGTGCGACGTGGAAATGTGCGACGTGGAAATGTGCGACGTGGAAATGTGCGACGTGGAAACGTGCGACGTGGAAACAAGAATCGCCGCAGTGGAGCCAACGTACGCGTTGTCAGGGGATAATACTTTGGATCAGTTATTTAGTGTTAACAATTTATTACTTAACAAATAAAACATTGTTTTTAATTAAATTCAGAGAGCTTCTAGCTTATTGTTGCTTAAACATTTTAAATAATCGTAGAGGCAAGTGGGTTAAATACACAAGTTAACATAATGGAACATATTTTTTTTAGCATATGCAAAGTTTAAGTTGTAGCCTTGTTGACAGAGCACAAATCTTTAAATTTCGCTCTTTTGCGGAGTGTTGGCTGAAGGTCACACGTGCTTTTATTTTGCCAATTCGTATAATAGACTCGGCACAGCTGAACATATTTGCCAATAATCTAGCAAGGTAAAGTGTTAGCTATAAAAACCGCTGCTTTCTGGCTAAACGACATCACAAGTTATTTGAGGAATTCCCTAAGAAGTCTGTCAAAATCATGAGAACCTTCACAATTGCGCTGGGCTGTGTCATTTTGGCCATGTTGCACATCAGGAGCTGCGATTCGGTCGCCTGTTCATCAACGGTCCTGACCAACTGCACCGACTGCACGGATGCCAGCAATGCCAATAATACCGACTGCACCACCACAGCCACGGCAACAACAACAACAACAACAACGGCAAGCACCGTCTCACTCGGCTCCAACCGGAAGACGGTGCGTATCAGCAATTTGAGGTACACAAATGTGCGTCGCATTCGCGTCAACAATGGTAATGCGCGTTCCTCAAGCCGTCGCAACGGAAGCCGCAGAAATCGCAACATACGTGTCCTTGTGGGTTAGCTGTTAATTATAATTCTTCATTTTATCGATATTAAAGAATACATGATTAAAACCGGTGTTTCCTGAGGTAACTGAATGTTCTGTTGCTTCTGATATGACGTTTGAAAACGACATAACTCCGCGATCATGTCGAGATTATGTCGTTTTGAAGCGAAATAATAAATAAAAATAAATAACCGCGCGTACATATTACGTTTCAAAACGACATACCTCCACGCGGAGAGCCGCGGATATATGTCGTTACCCCGAATTTTTCAATACATATATCTCCGCGCCAAGATATATGGCGTTTGAACGACATAAATCCGCTCTCCGTTCGCGAGATTATGTCGTTTTGACGACAAAAACTTTTTAAAACGAGCAGAGACATATGTACATATATCTCTATATGACGTTTGAAAACGACATAGGTCCGCCGCTCTGCAAAAGACAAATATCCGCGCGTAGATATGACATTTCAAAACACACACACATTTTTCGTTGCAGTCATAGTATGGTGTTCATAGGAATAACATATATTTTCTGGGAGGTCTGTAAGAGCGCACAAAAGCCAGTATAGGTTAAGGTAACCCTTAAGGCAAATAGGTATTTCATACTAAAACACAATCTTCGATCGATCGTTTTAATATTTTATAAATAATACTTTATTGACGCATCTATAGATACTTAGCAACGTAGACTGCCAAAAAGAATATATTGTCTACTGCCGCCTGGTAGACTTGAGTTACAGCAGCAACAAAAAATCGTCTTGGTTTTAGAGCAATTGTAAACCTCAGCCTTATGCTAAGCATAGATAAAAGCAAGCGCCTAATGTTAGGCTACATTATGTTTCACTTAACACAGCTGCACGTTTTATAGCGCACAGCTTTTGTCTATTATATGAAGTGCTCAGTTTTATGTCGATATTTTGTGTCTTGTTTTTTTTTTGGGTTGATATTAATAACTAATCTAACTATAGGTATTTGAAATACCTATGTATATTAAGCATAATCTCTATATATAAAAAGATTTGTCCTGATTGTCTGAATGACGGTTTGACTGACTAACTGCTTTACTGATTGACTGCTTGACTGATTGGTGATCAACGAACTGCCCGAACCATAAAAGCCAGGAAGTAGATTTTTATTGATGAAAAAAGTTTCTATGGATTGACCTCAAACTTTTTTTGGAAAATATCTGTATTGAATTTTCGGAATCTACACTTTGTCTAATTGGATTCAAACCTATTTCGTAATCCCTAAGTAAGAACGGCGGGTTTTTTTTTATTCGATGGTTTTTGATTAAGTGAAATCTACAGTTTTAAGCTGAAATTTGTATTTAAGATATTTCTGGCATTTGTCTGATTATGTATACAGATTGAGATACATCCAATTAGGTATTATTATGAAGAATATGATTATTATTTATATTGTGATATTAACCAACATAAGGTAAGGCCCAACCTTTTTCGTAATATTAATTTTGAATATTTGCATGTTGAAAATAAACCATATTAAATAACTCTAGACGGCACACTCAATTATATATTGCCCTTTCGTATTAGGAGCCTGGAACTATGCTGTAGAACATGTTGTAGATTATGAAATCCGGTAACAGGTCTATTTTTTTTAAGTATTCGCCTTTTGCCCACTTGCACTTTCAATTGGTATCGAAACTGCTGACACTGAAAGTCTTGAATGGTGCAGCCGGAACAACTGATTACATATCAGACGTTAGAATTTGAATAACGTTGTGGAACACTTGTGTACCCAATTCGAACAGATGAATGTAAGTATGGGGAAATCGAGCTGGTAAATAAAATGGTATTTGGGCAAAATGGGTATAAAAAGAGGCGTGTGGCCCATGGTAAGACATTCCAAGCAAACCATTTGAATTGAGATGAGGATCCAAACGGTTATCTTGTGCTGTGCCTTTCTGGCCATTTGCCTGGTGAAGCGCAGCGCCACCGCCACCACCACGGCCCCGAGTACGGCCACCACAGTTGCGAGTACGGGCACCACAACCGCCAGCTCGGCCACCGCAACCACAACGGCATCTAGCTCTGGAGCCACCACCACTGCGAGCAGCAGCGGTGGCAATGCCGCCCGGAGGCGTCTATTGCGTCGCATAAGGATCCTGCAGCGCAGACTGCAACGTTGCAGACGAGACTCCGCCCACCAGAGAAAGGTGCTGCTTGGCAAGATCAAGAGCCTCACTGCAAGCAGCCAAAACAATCTGAAGCCCAGCTTTAACAAGCTGTTCGGCTAATCAATCCGTACCTGTTCTTTTATTAACTCTAATAAATTGTTTATCATGCATATGTCGCATATTGTTTAGCTTTGGAGAACATTAAGTATATATCTGTTTAACTGTCGCTCCAAGTATTTTCAGGCCCAATTCATGATCGCAGACCAATGCAATACAATTCTCATTAGGGGTCTGTCTACCTTATACTCTAGATTATCTTTTTATACCCTGTATCCCTTGTTAATGGGTATGGTTTTGTTCATATGTATTCCACAGACAGTAGAAATCGACTGAGTCTGCCTGCAAGTGCAAACGCATCGATAATGTGCTACGTTTCCGTGAAATCGATAGGAGCTATGAGTAGGGGCGTAGTTTGCCGGACTGGCAACAAATTCCCCCCAACGAGTCGGTGGGTTGATTATATCTATACCCTTATCAACTTTACATTCTATGCTCTTCACTTTTTTCACACCTTTTTTCTGCTTCTTTTTGTACTTATTTACATTCTAAGGTATTATAGATACTCAAGAATAAAATACCCCCAACGTGTGAGAGATAATATTCGCAAAAAACTCCCTTATTCTGATTAGGCTTTTAGTTTATAATTTTGCTATTCTCTTTAATTTGTCAACCATTAATAAAACAATTAAAAAGTGAAGAAGTAAATAAATAAAAAGAACAGCTTCCGGTCACATGGATAGAATAGGTGCAACAGCTCGAATGAGGGACGATAAAATAGGGGGGGAGGGGCTCACTTACGCCAAGTGGTTTGGGCGAAACAAATGCAAGGCAAAGCCGCAAATGAAATCCACTTTTCTTGAGTGCACTTTTTACAAAATTTCTTTCGCCCGAGAGAAAGCACGATTTCAGAAAGAATCGCAGACTCTCCGCTGCGACGACTTTTATAGCCGATCTCCAACTGCGCTTATGAGTACTTATCTCCTGCCGAGAGAGAGAGAGAGAGAAAAGGAGAGAGGGAGAGAAAAAGAGAAAGAGAGAGAGAGAATGCGCTCCAACATGCACGACAATTTAGTCATTTAATATAATCACAAGATGTTTGCCAATTTAGACATGTAGTTTAAGTAATGTTGCTTAAAGATTAAAAGGCTTATTTTAAGATCAATTGTTTTGTTTTTTATTATTTTTTTGTTTTGGCTTGAGTTTAAACTTTGTGCTGCTTGAAACGAAATAAGGCCGAGTATTTGTTGAATAAGTATGAAATACTTAAGAAAAAACAAAAATGTTTAATAAAATTTCTAATAATAATATGTTTGAATTTATTAATTTAGACTTTCTTGAAGAATAAAGCACAATTACATAAGCACAACAGCTGGAACAAATGTGCTGAGAACCTGTTGTGTGAGAATCGCTTAAAATATTGTCAGAAAATAATAAAACAATAACAGACACTGATTTATCACAGACTTGAAGCTTAATCAACAAAACAAAAAGTGTACTTTATAGCTGATAAATATAAAATATATAAAAAATTCCAAGCATTTAAGATTGTTGCTGCAGCAATAGAACTTGGTTTGAGATGTTCAAACCTGGAAAAAGGACGTTTTTAAAGGCAGCAAAAATATAACTTAAAGGAAACCCAATCAATGCATTTATAAAGAATTAATTTGTATCTTTTTGCCATTCAATCTTCGATTGGTTTTTATAAATAAAAAATACATATGATATTCCAAAATTTTATGATAGATAAATTCACAAATAAATTGGCTAAGAGTAAGGATATTTTCGGCACGCCGCACATTTAATACCCTTGTAGGCATTTCCCTTTTGCATATATATTAGCATGGTGAAGCTTGCAAATTCTGAGCTTTATGAAAATATCTTTGAAAATGTCAGAATCTGCTTTCCGACCAATCTTTCCCATAGCAGCTATATGATATAGGGGTCCGATGTTGTTAAGATTAAAAAAAAAAAAACAGAAAGACTAGCTAGTATCGATATTGATTTTTATCGATTGCTTGAAAACGGGGCAACTTATCGATTCTCGGAAAACCTCGTAGAGGCAACAAGTTCGAAATTTCAATCCTTCAGCTCTTATAGGTTCAAAGATAGACATGTTCATACAAACGAACTGCCTACATAATTTATTTTTATATATTATGTTTATGTTTCCATATATTTCTAATAATTTATGCACTCAACCTGACAGCATAACATGGTAATAATAAAGCCTACCACTTAAAACCCATATCACAATCCCTTCATGTATATTTAAATGTTCTCTTAAACTGAAAAAGTAAATAAAATAGAATGTCTGGAGTATTTAGGGATTTCATTAGTATCGATGCGATAACATCAAAGAAAGCAAAAATAAACCAATATTAAAGACGATCGATAAATAACTGAGAGTTCAATTAGAAGAATAAACCTGATCTAAAAAAAAAAAAAAAACATTTTTGTGAGCAATAAACAAAGCTAGTGTATAGATATTGCTTTGGGATAAGAGCAGCATGTCTGTGTGAATTTGAATATTATATTATAGAAAGTAATTAATTAATATAATAATTTATATTATAACCAAGCGCTACTTATATATCCAGTATCAGTCGACGCGAATTAGCCACAACTGTCTGTCCTTATATCTGTTTCTCTCGCAGTTTCTTCATGAAATTTGACTTTCATTTATTATATCCTTTTTGTGAGTAAACTCTTCGAAGACCAAACTTGGCATTTAGTTAACACAATCTTCTATAATACTTACTACATACTAAATAACTACATCACGAACAGGAAAAAGCTGATGTATGAAAGCAATTCCAAGTCTAGAAGGGCATTCAATCTTCGACCCACAATTCTACCCCGTTTTCTATTTTTTGCTATTTTGCATCTGTTAATTTAAACAATTTACGAAATGTGTTGTATATAACAAGATGTGAGAGAGCACTCGAATAAATATTCAATGCCGGCTATTAAATGCGAAACGAAACTGGTTTCTCTTGCTCAAAGAGCTGTTCAATTTTATTCAAATGCTGTTTAGAATAGAGCCGAGCAGATCGGATCAGCCAGTTTACCAGGTGCGATCCACCTTGGCATCGTCGCCCTGGCACTCGATTTTCACATTGGTGCCGTTCTCCTTGAGCCATGGCTGGGACCAGATCTTCACGGTGCACTGCTTGGCCACATTATCGCTGGTCAGCTCCACGGTGTAGGTGTCCAGAGTGCCGGCAACAACTTGAGTTGTCACCTTCAGCACTTTTGTGGCCCTATAACAAAAGCAAACAAACATAGTATAAGGAACATTGGAATAGGTTCGAGACTTACGCATAGTTGGGTCCATCGCCAGTCGACAATTTGGCCAGAGTGGCGTGCAGATTGGCAACAGCCTTCTCCAGCTCCTCGCCGCTCAGCTCCTTGTGACCGCCCACAATTGGAGGCGACTCATCGCTGGCCACCAGCACGCACACGAGTGCCAAGATTGTCAGATAAATCAATTTCGAACCGAACATTTTGTTTTCTATCTTAACTGATTTTATTTTTTTCTGGAACTGTTGTTCGACCAAAAGCTGCACATCAACTAAATTCTCTGCAGCAGAGTCGGCCCTTTTATACACCTTACGCTCTGAGCGCGGTTCCACGAGAGAGCGTGTTGTTGTGACAAATACTATGACACGATGTTTATATATAGATCCTTATATGTGTAATACATACAAGTGTGTTATCATTCATTTGAGAAAGAAAGAAATTTACATTGTTCGTCATGAAATGTGTAACGCACGGAGGGCGGCGCGCACATAATGTATGCATATATATTCTCGATCTGTATAACAATATCTGCTAACTAGTCTCTCAGTATTACTATAGCACTAAGTGTATATAACATAGGAATGATTGGTGTTAAGCTAAGCGCTACTGTGAAGAACCTTTCACTCTGCCTCTTTCTTTCCGCAAAGTTTGATCAACATCGTAAAAATAAATGATATAGCTCTTTTGTGTTTCCAGATATTCTCATTTAACTCAGCAGCTTCACAGAGAGCTTCAGAATTCTCTCTCCTCAGCTATCAGCGTATTTGTAAGTCGGGGTTTTTAATCTTTGATATATTTACTACCATACATTTTTTTTAAATAATCACAGAGCTCCAGAATAAAATTGTGGATTGACTTGTAATGCTTATATAAACACAGATAGAGGGTATTGCCCGGCCTTGCCCGTATTTCAATAACAATTCTATTAGTATTAAAAAAAGTTGCCAACTTTCCGCCAATTTTTCACAGTTACGCGTGGGAATTCCAAAAGCGCTGGATTTGAAGATTTTGAAGCCGATCGCCAACTTTTATCCTCATGTTCCACCTTGGCTGGTATTTATCGAAAAAGGTTAAATACTTCTCAAATGGGTTTTCTCGTAGATCTTGGCAAATGATTTTACATCAGAAACTTCGCCCACCAAATATTCAAACCCAATTCCAACCAAGCAGGAATGAATTTTCCGAAAAGTATGAAACAAAAACTTCCAACTCTTCGAGATAAAAATCTTTTATAAATAGAGATAATATTTATTGGTAAAGAACTCTGTGATCTGCGCTAAGCATTTATTTGAAATAATGTAAATATTTGCCGAGATTATGCACAGGATTATTTCAAAGAGTGAAGCTGAGTTCGGCATCGTCGCCTTCGCATTTGATTTTGATATTATTGGGATAACCCTCCCAGGTGGTGATAACGCATTGTTTGTTAGTTTTACCGTCGGTCAGTTGCCCGACAAAGATGGTGACGGCGCCCGAGACATATTGTTTCTGGACGGAGATCACTTTGGCGACACTGAAAAGTGAATTATTTCCTTGTAATACACGTATATTGGATATATATAGAAATACGTCGTGTTACTCGTAGCTAGCTGCATGCTCTTGGGATATTATGGAGAGGCTTTCCTTGAGCAGTTCAATAGCTTCCTCTCGCAGCAAGTCCTCCATTTCCTCGTCCATGCCCTCGAGCGGAGTATTGTTATCAGCTTTCATGGCTGCAGAGCAGGCCAGAAATAATAGAGCCAAGTAATTAATATTAGTGTTCATAATTAAACACGAACTAATTGGGGCTAGTTAGCCGCACCAGCTTTTATAGATCGCACTACGAATTCAAAGCTAGCTTTTAATTTTCCATAATAAGTCCAGCTTATTAAGAGATTCTACGGATAGCTGAGAACAATATCTAATGTATTTTGTGCATGCACATAATCTGGTTACAAAAGCGTATTCAAAAACTGATATTTGTGTGCAACAAGTACTCCTGACTTTCGGCATCTTCGCAGCTGATTTTGATGTCCGTATTGTCTGTCAGCCAGAACTGATGCCAGATTCTCACATCGCACTTCTTGGTCACAAGGCCAGTTGTCAGTTCCGTTTCGTAGGTCAATTTCTTGGCCGCAACACCCTGGCTCCGCACGCTGGTCAGTTCGAAGGCTCTGTAGAGTGCGAAAGATTGGGTAAAATATGCAAATGGAGCTGTCGATGCAGCTGGATTTACTTGTAGCTAACTGCACCAGCGCTTAGGTTGGCCAATTTGTCGAGTTGTTCGTCCAAAAATTGAATAGCTATGGTCAGCATTTCTCCGGTCTGCTCTTGCAGGCTCATTATCGGATACATTTCGGAGACCATGGCCGTGCCGGAGGCCAATGCCAGGGCAGACATCAGATACAAAAACTGTTCACAATTCATTTTTGTATAGAAACTGATATTGCCTGCCAGCCGTAGTGCCTATTTATAGACAAATGGGGCGTACTTATGGCATTAGTTTTTATTTGAATACAATTAATTAAAAACGATATTAGATCTTAATGTGTATTTAACATGCAGCAGCTGTTTAAATCTTTAAAAGGTGCTCTCAATCACGTTGTCATCGCCCTCGCACTTGATGGTTATATTGATGCTATTCTCCGGCAGCCAGGGCTGCGTCCAGATCTTAACATAGCTCTCTTTAATGTCATCGCCCTGGGCCAGCTGCAGCTTGTAATGATAAAGTCTGCCGGCAACCACTTGCGATGTCACCGACTTGACCTTAACAACCCTATGCAAATAAATGTCATTTACTTTTACAGAGTATTCGGTACTTAAATGCTTGTGTACTCACTTAAAACTGGGCTTATCGCCAGTGGCAGCCACTTTGGCCAGCGAGGTATTCAACAGCTCCACGGCCTGCTCCAAATCAGCGCCTTGCAGCTCCGCCGATACGCCACCACAAAGCGGTGCATCGTTTCGTTCAGCCATGTCTGTGGAATATTTATAAATGAACTGCATTGATAAGCAGCAAGAAGTATAAGTACTTTTATATGGAAGCCCTTCGGAATACCTGAACTGAGCAGCGCAGCGAGCCAAGACCTTCGCGTCGAAAGAAAGAAATAAAAACGAGTATTCCTGAATATCGCTTTGTTTGAAAACTCGACGATGACTGAGCACTGGAAGAGCTCGTACAGTTCAGGTTGGGCATTGGACTTGCTTTGTATGGGTGAAAACACAAAGAGAGCGCGGAAATTGGCACACACACACACACACACACTCTCTCTCTCGCGCTCTCGTTCTGAGAGCGGCTAGTCTGTATATAAGAGCTGACTCATAAACATGACGATAAAATCAAAAACAAACAGTGGCCACTGTCACTTGATGGAAATCGGCCCGAAACAAACTCGAACATGTTCAACAAACAACGAACTACCTGATATCTGGCCTTAATAGATCGTTTTCTCAAAAAAAAAAAGGTTATTTCACAAATGAGCTATTGATTGCTATTTATGGTACACGGTCGGTTTTTTTTTTTACAGGTAAGTTTATCAGCGCGTACATTTTTGAAATGCCAAGCAACATGCGTTTAGGTAATTAACTTGTTGAATGAAAAGAAAAATAACCAAGTTGGATTTATTTACTTCAGCATACGAATTCTTCAAAACAAAATTGAGGTACAAATTTAAAAGGCCTTAAAGCTAAGCTCTCTATTCAATTTAAATAACGCATTTATTAACGATCTGTCGTTGTTTTTTTTTTTTTTTTATAGTACCGTAGTTATATGTGCATATATTATATATTTATATGCTACTTATCCCGCGTAACATTTATTCAATTTGCAATTGAAATTCTTGTTTGGTAAATATTTCCAAAAAATACATTTATACCCCCCCCCCCCCCCTTCCTTATAGCCCCTCCCCACTCCTAATCACCCTTCCAATACATCGTGCGGGAAACTTAAGCAAATCTTACAAAGTAGTTCCACATTTGTTTTCTTTTTTTTTTTAAGTTTTAGTTTTCCTTTAGTTTTATCTTCCTTTTTTTTTTTGGAACTAACAAACGCTACAAAACAGTTCCAATAACAAATCCCTCTCCATATCTTCAGGCTCCTCAGATGTGTATATGCATGTGCTCCAGCAGCTGGGCACGATCCGGAAATATGGATGAACACATTTCACACTCAAAGCAGCGCGTCCGACGCTCCGTTTTGCTGGCCGCAGCTGCCTTGGCCGCTGCGTCGGCGGCATGTGCCGCGGATACCACCTCGGAGATGGAAAAGAAACCGGAACTGACATCCGAAGAGTTGGCACTGGCCACCACATTCACATTGTACGAGTCCACGCCATAGCTAAGGTACGAATTGCCGGCTGGCTTACTGACTGCAACGGGCGAGGATGTTGTCGATTTCTTGGCGCTGAATGCCGAAGAACTTTTGTCCATGTGCCGCTTGGCTGCCGAGCGGGTGGCCGAGTTGGCAGTGATCTGTCGCAGATGGCGCGATGTGCGCGCCGCCGATGAGGATGATGATGATGATGTGGGCGTGGCTGTGTGTCCTGTGGCAGTTACACGTTGCTGGCTCTCCACCATTTCGCGCAGATCCGGCGACGTGGGCTCAATTTTAATGAGGTTCTGCTCCTCCTCGGGCAGAAACTGTGGCGTTGTCGACGATTCGCTAGTAAAACGCAGGCGCGCATTCCGATCATGCTTGAGCGGACTGCGTAATATCTCCTCCAGATCATTGACAATGCTCGGATTGAACTTGTCGTAGGGCTTATCACGCAACATGGCCGTATGGATCAGCAAATGGGTGTCATCGTACATGAGCTGGACGCGCTGCTGTTGCTGCTCCTGCTCCTGCTTGATGTGCAGCGGACTGGAGCTGATCTGATTTGGCGGCTGTGTGGCAGGTGATATAATTTCGTAGTCATCGACAATCCGCGAACTGGCCACGCCGCTCGACTTGACCAGGCCCAGCTGGCTGCTCTCGCTGGTGCTGGTGCGCGTTATGTAGCTGCGCCCACGCGACTTTTTGCTGGCATTCTCTGGCGGCACACGTGCCTTTTCTGTGTGTATCATGCGGGGACGTGAACTGCTTGATGTTGCAGCTGCTGTGCCTGTATTCTTGGCCGCCTTGCTAGACTTCTTTCTGCTGCTGCGACTGTTGCCTACGCTGGATTTGCCAGACTCCTCGACAGTTGCAGCTGCTGCTGCTGTTGTTGTTGCCATTGTTGCTGATGCTGTGGCTCCCGCTCCACCTCCAGACTTGTCACTGCTCTCGGCCTGCGTTTGCGTCGGTGGCTGCTTGCCGCCGCGTCGCGACTTGGAGGCGCTTGGTGTGCTGCTGGATGAGCTTACAGGCGGCAGAGTGGTATCATTTACCACCACCAGCGAATCAATTTGAAAGAAGCTTTTGTAGGCATCATCTGCGTTCCCAACATTGCCATTGCTGTTTGCCGGCAGGAATTTCTCATCCCACAAACGTTCCGAGCTGCTATTGGCGGATTTGGCAGAACTGGAACTATTGTGTGCGGCGCCATTTGTCACGGCCTTAGCTTGATTTGTAGCTGCTCGCTTGCGCTTCTCCTTTTTGGTGGTTGGCAATGGCTCCGTCCTGTCCAGGAGATCATCCACGTTCTCAACATCAAAGTCACATAGTTCCATATCGCTGGCATACTCTTCGCCATCCTTGTTGCCCGCACGCATGTGGGCAATCTCGTGTGGCTGTAGTTTCCTGCGTCGCTTATACTTACGCGGACCAGTCTGAAAAAATCAATAAATTTCACTCAATTTTCTAGAGCACTCTGGCTATCGAATGCTACTCACAATTGGCTGTCGCTGTTTGGCGGTGTTCGTATCGCTGTGCTGGATGAGATGCTGTATTAGCTCATTGGATGAGGACAAATCGGCCGAGCAGACGGTGCAATGATAGGTGCCGCGTACCGCATCCAGACCCGAGTGATGGGATCGTATGTGCTCGCGCAGCACAACGCGCTGATTGAAGGCACGCGGACACACGGAACAGGCATAGGGCTTCTCGCCGGTGTGAATGCGTTCGTGCTTGCGCAGCGTACCGCCATCGGCAAACGCCTTCCAGCAGTAGCGACAGCCATATGGCCGTTCGCCGGTGTGGATGCGGACATGTATCTGCTGTGAGCTGCGCGAGCCAAAGGTCTTGCCGCACTCGTGGCAGGGGAACAGCTTGCCCGGCGATGTGGTGCTATGTGAATGGCGATGATTGGAAAGCGTGCGTCCATCGGGGAATTCCTCGTGGCACACCTCGCAAACCACCGACTTGTCGCGATGCGAGGCCATGTGTCGCTTCAGGCGCGCCTTGTTGTGAAAGTTCTTGCCGCACTTGGAGCACGAGTGGCACTTCTCGCGCGAGTGATCCCAGGCGTGCTTGATCAGTGCCTTGCGATCGCGACACTCTTTACCGCAAAGCACGCACGAGTTGGGCTTCAGCTCGTGCGGATGGCGCGTGTGCAAATGCCGCTTGATAGCCTGCTCCTCGTAAAAGCTAACACCGCACAGAACGCATCTGCAAATGTTAAAAGCAATCATAAATTGGAACTAGTTGCATGCGGCTGTCCAACTCACTTGAATGGCGGGAAGCGTGCATGGACTTCGGCATGGGCGAGCAGCTCTAGTGCGCTAGGAAACGATTTGCCGCATGTGTGACAACAGTGTGCTGCGTCTTTGGCATTTTCGGCATCAGCATCGCCGCCGCCGCCGCCGTCACCTTCTCCGGCGCCGTCGCCGCCGTCCGTGTCTGGTGTCAGCTTATGCTGTTGCTTGGCATGACGACGCAGCAGGTCCTGCCTGTGAAAGGAAATGCCGCACTCGCTGCAGTAGAAGTCACCGTAAAGCTGATCCGGCTCCGATTCGCTGGCGCTATCATCGCCCGCCGAAGCCGGATCATATTCCGAGTTGCTCTCCTCGAACTGATGTGTCTTCTGATGTTCCTGCAGGCTGTAATTATCCCAGAACATCTCCTGACACTGATTGCATTCGAAGGGCGAGTTCACGCGATGATTCTGGGACAGACAGATAGTTACATATGGAAGTCAGTTAAATATTCACCCAGGCTCACCTTGATATGCGAGACGAGCGCTTTTTCGCGGGCAAATGCGAGTCCACACTGCTGGCACACAAAGGGCTTGCTCTCGTCCAGTACCGGAAAGCGTAGTGTCTGCGCCGCATCGGCGGCGGTTTCGTCTGGGCACTCTGTCGAATGCGATGCATCGATTGACGTGCTGCCAGTGAGCTGCGGCTGCAGCGGCAGCTCCTCGCAATCCATGTACTGGCGCAAATCGTCAGTGGCCTGCTTCTCGGCAATCACAATGTACTGTGTGCTCTCCTCTTTGGGCTTGAGGCGGCTAATGCGACCGCGCGTGGCTGTTGGTGCGGACACAGCGCTAACCGCTGGATAGCTGGCCTGCGGCTCCACAAGCTGCTCCTGCTCCATTTGCTGCATCTGGTCTTGTACCTGTTCCTCTTCCTGTTCCTGGTACAAAGGCCAATCCTGTTCGTAATATTGATCATCCGCTTGGCGTTGCTGTTGCTGCGGCTCAAATTTAATTGCAGCCGCCTCATCTGCCGCAACCTGTGCCTCGGCATGCGCCTTAAAGTGACTGATGAGCTCGGCGCGCCTGGAAAAACGTGCGCCGCACAATTTACATAGATGTGGGCGATCGTTTTGGTGCGCCAGCATGTGAGTATTGAGGCTGCCCTTTTTGCGAAAGCGTCGGCTACAAAAGTCGCAGGGATAGGGGCGCAGTGCCGTATACTCATCCTGCTCCATGTCCAGCAGCTCCTGCGAGCTATTGTTGCCCGCTATTTGCTCCGCGGCGATTTCCACACTGCAAAAATAAAACGAACACATTATGGAACCGTCGTTCTGTAGGTAATAATCAATAAGTACTTACCGCTCGGCACCCTGATGCTGCACCCAATCATCGGTAATGATCTCCTCGGTGACCACCTGTGCATCATCATCAAATGACTCGGCATAGGCAACGGTGCCGCTGTCCGTGATTAATACAGTTCCGCCGCCGGCTTCGTTGGCGGCTATGATTTCGCTTAGCTGACCATCGCGTGCCATGAAGATAAGATTTTCGGCCGCCATATGGTCAAGATCCTCGTCCGTTGCATTGCCATTTACCAAATAGGCGGCAGTCACCTCGCTGTCAGCAGCGCCGTTTTCCAGCATATCTGTTTCGGAATCAACCGCAGATGCGTGCTGCTGTATCCATTGGATGCCGCCATAGTCCTGATTGTTCATAACTCAACTGCCCCGTTGCTTTTGCTCTGCAAGCGAATTGTTGTTATTGCAAACTTCTCGGGCAAATAATAATAATTTACAGATCTCAAGCTTGAGCAACAATTGTCTCTGGAGCACATGTGCTCTGGCAAAAAGACCGTGGGAGAGTGAGAGAGCAAAATAGCGTTGCCAGACAGATAACAGTTTTTAAATAAAAGTATAATTGGCCATTCAAAACAAACGATTTAATATGGAATTCACAAATTTTCGAAACTAGTTATCTTCAGCGCACATTTAGCTACTCATTTTATTTGATTGTACACCGGTAAGTAATATTGTTATATTATGGAACTGCACATTTAATAGCGCTGGCAACCCGGCGCTCGCTTCCAGGTAGCACACACTAGGCATCCCGCTCACACGCATGTGTCGCGCGCATCGTTTCCAATTTAATGTTGCTGAATGGCCAAGTCGTCGTCTCATAAGATTTTTTTTTCCAATTATAAGTCTGTGTTTTATTTATATTCCAGACTGTTGCACATAACCTCAAGTCAAAATACAATAATAAACAAACCGCACCGGCAACCCGAGCTCTATTTTGCACATACATGTATAACATACGCATATATGACTATAATAAGACAATAGGTGGCGCAGTCGTGGCACTCACACTCACGCGATTACATCACGCCCAAAAATTCTCATTTTATTAATTTCATTTGATTTTCAACTAAAAACTGGCGAAACAATAGCCGCACCTGCTAACATTTACCTTTAATTTCAACTTTACACAGATGTCATTCTTTAACTGTACGCCGCCTGTTTTTAAATGCAAAAAATTGTTTTCCAAACTCAAAATATGCACGAACTAAAAGAATTCCGCAGCAAAATCACACACATCGTTTTTTTTTCCTCCTCAACTCACAGCTGTTGCTGCGCCTTTCAGGCGTGTGTGCGCATACGTGTAAGGTCTGTTAGACAACACTCACACAATGAAAGGGGCTTAACATTTAAATGAGCTGTTATTAACATCGAGCATTAGGTTTTTCTTGGAAAAGTAAGTGACACAAGTTGCATGATTTTGTTGAAAATAATTAATTATTAAAATATAAAATAAAATGTTGTGTAAATTGTTTTGATAACCAATTAAAAAGCTAAAGAGAAATACGGTGGACAGTCAACAAATTTGAATTTAACAGATTTTAAAGTACCTTACAGTTGCCGGTCGCTTTCTGCTGGAGGAAAATCACAGTCGCAATATTTTAAACTTTATAACAGGTTGCTTCAATATTACAACTACATCTCTAGTGCTGCAAACGTCTTTATGTTTTAGTGCTGTTAAACTGAATGAATACGTCACATTTATCCGTTACGTTCTGTAAATATTTAAACGTATACAAATGTATAAACCCACGCCAAACAAAAAAATATTATTCACACCTGCTCAAATAAAAATTTAGTCAAGCTTACGAGTATACCGAAGTTTATTATCCAATTTTATTTTATTATCTAATAGGACTTGCTTATATGAAATTCGAACGGGAAATTATAACCTAGCCAATTGTTAGCTGTAAACCAGCTGGCATTTCTAATTTTAAGGATTTAGTACACATAGTGCTGGAATTTGTTGTTGCCCTAATACCGCAAGCAAAAAATATAGATAACGGTTGCCAAGTTCCGAATTTTAAACAGTTTTTTTTTGCGTTTGGACTGTTATCAACAGAGCAAATTTGCCCAGAGCTTAAAACAAATTTTAAGCTGTATTGGCATTTCTCGAATGATTTCACGTACATACAATACATTTCGCGTATTACAATAATTCGATTATTGGCATTTCTCGGAAGATTTCATGTACATACATACATAGATGATTTGCCTACGATCACAGCTGTATATACACATACACATATACATATATGTATGCATTTTACATATACTCACACAGTCGCGTTTCTCTTTCGCCATTAGCTTTGCTCTTTCAGCTAAAGAGCAATGCAAATGGCGAGCAACGCGCTTCGCCCAAACAGCGCCAAACTTTTTTTGCTCCACTCGCCTTTGCCTGCGGCTTTGCCCGTTGCCTTTGCCTCTGCCACTGCCACTGCCTCTGCCTTTGCTCTGCTTTTATTTTTATTGCTCTGTGTGCGTTTTGTTTTGCTGTGGGGCTCTGGGGCAGCGCCAACCAAGCGACTATTTAATTTTCGTTTTGCCGTGGAACCGTTTGGCGGCGGCCCGCAAGCGACGTGCGCGTTCTGAATATTTGGAAAATGTCGAGTAGCAGCGCGTTCGTGGTTCTATTTTGATTTACGTCTTTATGTGTTACCGTTACGTGTGCATATACATACATACATAGAAATAACGTTGTTACAACGCTGCAGCGCCATCTAGCGCTGATCGACCTGTTGCTGTCGTTGTTTTTGCCTAGTAAGTACCACGTTAGAGCTAAAATATAAACAAACGTAAGCGAATGAAAAACAACAATACCAAAAATAAAAAAAAAAAAACAAAAAAATAACCGCCATCCTTTGACAGGCGGCGACGACATAAAATGTCAAACTGTCGATCAACATCAAGGCGAAATATGCAAGATGCGTGTCTTAACTGCAAAGAGGGCGCCGACTGCTCTGGCAAATATGTGTGTGTGTGTGTGTGCGCGCGTATTTGCATACATATGTTTGTGTATGTATGCACATATTTGCAGGCAGCCATTTATGTAATGCACACACACACACACACGCGCGCACATTTTACTATCCTCCTCCCTGTTTTGCTTCTTTTAATCTTGGTGCTGATCTCGCTTTCGGCTACGCGTTTTGCATGCCTACGCGTTCGGTTCGGTTTGGGTCGTTGTTGCCCTTCTCTGGAATGCGTTTAATTCGAATTTGAATTTCATCGTTTTTCGCTGCTTTATATGATTCTGTTTTGTTTTGGGGCTACGCTCGCTTGTTTTTACAACGCAAAACACTTGTTGTGTGTGCATATTCCTCCAAGGGAAGAAATCAAACTAAGCGCAAACTTTAATTAATATACCACGCACGCACACATAATCACGATCTCGCGCTCTCGCTCTCGCTCTCGCTCTTGCACACACGCACGAGCCCACACAAACACACTGGAAGGCTGGAACAATGTTGTTATTGTTATTCGATGTGCTCATTATTGTTGTTGTTGTTGTTGTTGTGGTTTGTTTGTATTTTCTTGGATGAATTTTTTGTTTTGGCTGCTGGTATTTGGTATTGATTGAATTTTGCGCATGCTCAACACATTTTATGGTTAACGATCGCGGCACACGCTTCTTAGCCAGGTAAAAGTCAGCTATGGGGATTGGAATTTACGATCCACCATTTGTCTATTTATAGAGCTGCAGTTTTTATGGCATGTTAGCTGAAATGTTAGAGAACGTGTGGGAGGCGATTGACATGCCATGCTCAAATATTGGGAAGTAACATAAATCTAAATACTATACAAATTATTGCATATAGGTCAGGCAATTCGTTTTATTAACTTCTGCATTTAATCGATAGTAGATCGCAATGGTATATTCAATTAGTTTGGGTTACTCTAAGTCTTCTTCTACATCTTCGAGAAAATAAACATCGAATTGGTCTTATAACACCTTGTACCCCGTCCCTAACTCCATTATAAATATCGGTAATGATACGCAATCTACGGCGTCTGGGTTTTTTGGTAGAGCTACTCTGAGTTTTTGTAATGCATTGTGCATTTCCGGGATCCAGGACACAGTTGACGCAGCTTGGCTCCAATGGTGCCAAGTCGCAGGTTACACCCGTAACATCATACGGCAGACAATAGAAAATGGCAACCAGCAAGATGAGCACTTTTGCACATCTCATTTTAAGGGCTCACTTTGAACGACTGACCCAAGTTAGCCAACGCTTAAGAATTTATGGCTTTCAGAAGGGTTGAAAGACAAAGAAACAGATTTTCCTATACATAATATAAATGAACTAACATTATTCAGGTGTTCGATAGCCAATAGACTGCACCACGTGATAATCTTATTACAGCCAATGTGTATATTGTAAGCTGTACCTTTTAAGTTAGTCAATATTCTACACACTTAACCTTAACCATTCTCATTCACATTTGCAGCTTTATTTGAACCCGAATCGCCTTTCTATGCGATTCGGGTAAGACGAAAAACAGCTTAAGAGTACAAAAAAAAAAAAAAAATAGTAAAAAGTAATAAAATTGCATTTTTATATATTTAAGGAATTATGGGATTCAATTTATTTTTAATTTGTTGGAATCTTTGCTGAATCCTTTGAAAAAAGCTCGACAATAATGTTCTAATTCGGCGGCGTCGCGACTTCTTGGTGGTGCTTATCACAGTTGCAGCTGTTGTTGTTGCTGTTGTTGTGCTTGTAATGCACTCTGTATTTGTGGGATTGAGGATGCAGCTAACACAATTAGGATCCAGCGGTGCCACATCACAAGTGACAGCAGCAACCTGATGTCGCAGGCAATATATTATCGCCGTCAACAATATCAGAACTTTGACACAGCCCATTTTGAGAGTTTACAGATAACGACTGACACAAGTTGGCCAACATGTTTTGACTTTATTGTATCAAATAGGCGTCGAAACAAAGAAACAGATTTTTCGTATTTGCTGGTACCAAAGAATATTTAATCAGGTGTTTGATAGCCAACAGAGAGCAGCACGTGGTATGCTTTATGCACTGAAAATAAATATGTTGGCTATGTTAAAAGTAAGAAATCGCACAAATGATCAAACCCTGTACAAAATTTCAATAGAGCAAAAGAAAATGACTTATTATCTACTCCCCTTTAAATACATTTTCTTAGTTTTCTTTCTAGTAAAAATCAAATAATTGTCACTGGAATTTGGCAAACGACTTGATTTGCTAAAAATGTCGAGAAACCCATAAAAACAGAAAGACTAGAAACCCACTTTGAGCAAATTCAACAAGTTGCGAGTGACGAGACGCTGACAAAATTGTGACAATGACAACAATTGAACTAAATTTTAATTGTTGGCCATTTGCATAGACATTGCCAACATCGAGGCAATTGCATTGTTGTTGTTGTTGTTGTTGTTGTTGACGATCTCATTGATGTTTTTATGCGCCTGTCAGCAACTGTTTGTGTATTTGTGAAGATCGGTGGGCGCAACGTAAAACGTGCGTGTGGCTACTGTGAGCCACTCTGGTGGCACCCACATAAAACATATGCATATACATATGTATATACATTTTTTCTCGTTTGGCACAAAAACGACTGAAAACGTAAATTTCAGTCATTCGACGATCGCGATAAGCGGAAAAGCATGTGAAAGTCATAAGGCTGACACGAACGTCAGTCAAACTGAGCAGCGGCATTTAGCAGCGAAATTCGCACAAACAGAAGCAGAAATAAGAAAAGACACAGAAACGTTTCTAAAAGCGAAAATAATGTCATTCTGAAAATCGATCAAAATGGCAGACAGCAGACAAAATTCTCACGAAACAAGAAATAAAAATTCAGGCGTGATTAATTATATTTTAAATGAAATGAAAACTCACCAAACAAATTGTTGCAAGTGGGCGAAAATTGAGCGCTGTACAACATTGCGTATGCGTGTTGTCTACTGGGCAGCTGTTCGAACGTGTCTTCACTAACGCTCTCGCACTCCCTCTCTCTCTCTCTCTCTCTCTCTCTCTCTCTCGCACTCACTCGCTCTGTTTCCAGTGACAATCAGCTGTTTGCTGTGCTACATTTTATAACTAGTTCGCGCCTTCTACTCTGTCCTGTACTGGGCGCTCTCTCGCTCTCTTTCGCTCTCTCACAGTGCTGCTCTAGTTTGCCTAAATAAAAATATTCGCATGCTCACACAAATTCATTTAAAAACAATTTGTGCTTTTTATTATATAAATAAATTAACAACAGCTGCGCGCTCTCTACCTCTCTCTTTGCCATAGTTTGGCGCTCTCTTTAGTCGCGCTCTTTGACATTCTATTTGAGCTATTTTGTGCAAATTATATTAATTGTTTACATACGAATCTCTTTTTTGTTTTTTTTATTTATTTATTTATTATTTTTTTTTTTTTGTTACGGCGCACTTTAGTTGACTCTCGCGTGTTTTTATTGAGCATATTTTTTATAAATTTTATTGGCAACGCCGAAGCGAGCGGCAAATGCGTTTCGAACGTGGCGCGATTTCAGTATTTTATTTTCAATAATCTTTATTGGCCGTTTGACAAATTCGAAAACGCTTCAATTGATTTATTTGATTTTATTACCGTTCGATTTCGAAACATTTTCTTGTGACTGTGCGTGTATGCGCGCGCGCTCGTGTGCGTGTCTGTGCTACAATACGATCATGTAAATCGCATCGAAATCGTATATTTTTTACGTGAATCGCTTTGAATGCATTTTAGGCACATGTAACTGCAGGCCGAATGCGATTTTTACGTGCTTTATAGCCGATTACACAGAATGCTGGTCTAGATGAAATAAATGCGGGGGACCACACGGATGAATTGATGCGGCCTGTGTATAAGTATTTGTTGTGCAATAAACTTAACCAAAGTTTTTAATACACTATAATTCTTAAGCTGATGATCTAGATTTCTAGATCTGAATTTCAAATTATTCTTGTTATGTCTGATCAGCTTAAGAATTATAGATATCTAGATTTCTAGATCAGCATCAACAATTGATATAGCCAAGTCGATCTGTCCGTTTTAAAGCTATCTTATTGAATATATAGGATCCGCCCTGATCGGACAACTGTTTCATATAGCTGCCATAGTAGGTTCTTGTTTGAAAAACATATTTGATTTTCAAGATATCGTAACTAAACTATGCACTTATAAGTTTCACTATGCTCGCTGCTTATTTGCAAAATCTTATCAATATCGGACAACTATCTCAAATAGCTTTTATAGGAATTTATTTTACATGTTTGCAAAATCTAATCAACATGAGACTAATATATCATATATGTAGTTGTTTAAGGAACGATCGGACAAAAAGTTGGTTTTGATATGGAAACCTTTTTTATATTAAGGTAAGTTGACAAAACTCGAGACTTATTAGTTCCATTATGAGCCTCATTTATATGCAAAATCTTAACAACATCAGAGCTCTATATCATATAGCTGATATAGGAAAGATCGATGGATTAAGCATTTTCAGCATTTTCGTGCTGCAATATTTTCACAAAAGGGTATTAAATCTTCGGCGAGCCGAAGATGTTCTAACTTTATTGCTTTTGCCTTCTATTTAACAATTTTATTTTATTTTTATTTTTTTTTCTATATATATAAGATTCTGATAAATTAATCAGCTTCATTTAAATAAACCAGATTTCCTTTTAATACGAATTCTTCACATTTCTTTTTGGCAATTTGTTTACAGCAATTAGTAAAACAATGTTTTTTTTTGGCAACTAAATAAGCTTTTGCAGACGTACATATGTCTGGTTCAGCCTTCCACTCTGCACACACTCTTGAAAAATTCTAGAATGTCAGGTGCGCCAGACATGTCTATATATCACAGTGCTCGCTAAACGGCAGAGTTTTTGGCGTTTAACGGGCAGAGTCTGGGGGTATTTTTTTTTTTTTTAAGTTTATTTTTTGGACAAGCCTCCATTACACTGAATTCTTATGCCCCATACCCCGCATGTCAATTGTCTGCAGGGCCTGCATGCTCCACTTGATCTTGTCGCTGTCGCTGTCGCCAGGGGTATACATTAATCCCGTTTCGTGCCGGCGGCTGTGCCTGTTTCAGTTGCTGTTGTTGCAGTCAACGGCGCATTTACCTAAATTGGAATTTCCGGTAAACCGTAATGAAAATCGTAGCAATCAAACCGAAAAAAAAAAACACACACACACACGCACATACACACACACACTGAGCGATATGTATACAAAACAACACACATGCAAATATAATAAAAATACACGACCAAAGTATACCCGTACCCAGTTCAAGAAGTGCCAAAAGGGCCATTGACATTGGTTTATTTTTGGCGCATTTTGGGATTCCATATGGCAGATCAGACCAGATCGAGTAACTTTCGCTTTTAAATCGAGCTTTGCTTTAAAGCTGTTTACTCATTTCATAACAAAGCTTGAACGTGCTTTCAAAACTTTCTGCACAGCTATGAGTACTCAGTGTTGAGAAGCTTTGGAATAATACTAAGTTTTGAGAAGCGCTAGATTATAATATTATGTGTATGAAGTGATGAAAGGCGTTAGACTGTAAGGCCTAAGGCTGCCTGCACAGCTATGAGTATCCAGTGTTGAAAATCGTTAGGTTATAAGCTACGATTAAAAACATTATGCGAATGTAGTGTTGAGAAGCTTTTGGTTACAAAGCCTCAGGCTTTGTGACCAGCTATGCGTGTGCAGTGTTGAAAAGCGGTACGTTATAAGCTAGGACTAATAATATATAGCTTAACTAGTGTTGAGAAGCGTTAGGTTATAAGGACTAAGGCTTTGTATTCAGCTATGAGTGCAATAAAATGCCAAGACCACGTACAGGCACATATGCTCGTAGATACCCTTACCACGGGCACATTGATATGCAAATGAATGTCACCATCTTAAATGAAATAATCGTCTTAAACGAACGCTGTGCCGGCTGTCTTGCTAAATCGCTCGACTTAATTGCTTTTCTCAGTGCCCTCACAGAAGATGAGAGAGAGAGAGAGGGGAGACAGAGAGAGAGAGAGAGAAAGACAGAGAGAGAGAGAGAGCGCGAGCGAGGGTTAAAACATTTAAGAGCTTATTTTTTATGAGCGCCTTTAATGACTTATTTACTTAATAATAATTTTTATTGCAAATCAAAAACATTTCTTAAACACTTTCAATGTCATTCGTTGAGTGTTCAGGGTGGAAAAAAACCCCATCCTTCGACATCTTTCTAAATTTAGTTAACTTTCTGTAAACATTGAAATAGTAACAATACCACAAACATAAAGAACTTTTCTCGAATTCTATAAACAAAATGTACTTATTTTGAAAATTGGGTTACAATGCTGTAAACAATATGAATTCTGATTGTTGTTTCGTTCTCGCCGAATTCAGCATAAATTCCAGAAAATGTTATACTATGCACATTTTGGTTTTATGTGCAGGTATGAAAAGTTCTGAAAAAATGTTGCGCATAACTGAAAATGATTTACTATGAAAGCAAATAAATCAATCATTGTTGATTTAAATTTATGAAACCAACGAAAGCGCTCAGTAATACCCAAAAATGTAGAAATGAAACAAAAAATTCGAAAAACAAAAAGAATTTTTTCTGATGTGCATCAAATAAAATCAAAGCCTATTTCATCAAGGTTTCGACACAAATTCAAATACGCACAAGCATACAGAATTCGATGTTGAGAAGCTCCTCAAAGCCAGCACCCAATATACCGATCTCTACAGAATTGATAGGTGTTGATATGTGGATGCCGTACGATTGCCAAATCGACGAATCGTTCGCCAGTGCCACCAAATAAGAATCAGAATCACTTTGCGGTTACTTATGCGGCGCGAATATTAATTGACTTATAAAAGAAATCAACGAAATATGCCAATAAAAATATTCCAAGCATTTCGACAGAGTCTTGGCGGTGGGCCGGAGGATGAGGGGGGGGCCAGGCGCCAAACCGGGCAGCCATGCGCCAACTATAGACAAATACAATACTTACGATAATAAAAAAAAATATATATATATTTTTTATTGCTTTGTACTTATTAG